ATAGATAGATAGATAGATAGATAGATAGATAGATAGATAGATAGATAGATAGATAGATAGATAGATAGATAGATGATAGACAGATTGAGTGACTGAGTGATTTTTTAAAAATGCTATTTGAGGGCTGGAGAGATGGCTCAGTAGATAAGGTACTTACCTTCCCAGGTGCAAGCCCTGGAGGCGGGATCCTAGAACCTGTGTGAAAGCACTTGCAGAGGCAGCCTAGAACCCAGGGAGGCAGGAGCGGGACCCGGACAAGCCGGCTACAAGCCAGATCAATGAGTCCTGGGTTCAGCAAGGGCCCCTGCCTCGAATAAAGTACCTGATATCAGCCCATATGTACACACACACTTTTTTCTTACATATTATTTGAGGCAATGGGGCGCTGCTCTGTGGTAGTGTCAGCAGAACATGTACAAGACCCTGGGTTCTATCCACAGCACCAAAAAGAGAACAATTCCTGTGTCTGTTCACTGAGCACCACGAAGAGCTCAGTGCGTGGGAGATGCTGCTTTTCCGTTACCTCAATACTGTTATTATTTATTAAAATGCAATGAGGCTGGTATCAACCGATATTCTCTGCAAGAAGTTTATTAGGAGGGTATGGAGGAAGGCGGAAGCAGGACATTCGAGAGAGAAAAGGGAAGGGGGATGGGGGTGCCCCAAGGGAAAGAGGGGGAGAGAGAGAGTAGAAGAGAGAAAGAGAGTGTAAGAGAGAGAAAGAAAGAGTGTAAGAGAGAGAATAAGAGAAAGTAAGAGAGAGACCGCAGAGTTGGGGTCGGCCTTTAAGGGGCAAGGTAACCACGCCTTCCAGGTGTGGCCACCTGGTGACACATGATGACATCACAGGAGCAGGTTGTGTTCCAAAATACTAACAAGTACCACCTCCTGGCTGGGGAACCCTAACACTTTGCTCAGCTAGTATTTAATTCTAAGGTGATTTTCTACCTCTGCGCTTAGAAGAAACTTTCCCTTTTCTCTCCTCAGTCCTAACAAGCAAGAAGGTGTAATACAAATGAGGCCAATGGTATTGTCAACTGTTTAAAACCAGATTCATTGTAGATGGACAAACTACACATTTGTATGTCCTGAAGCAAATGTACTACTTTTCGTGCCCTGAGCTCTCCATAAGTTAAGTAGAAAAACATTAACTAGTTCCCCTGGAAGCTATGCAAATTAATTAATGCTTGGAAAGTAACTTGAAATTTTAAATCAGTTTAGAAATAAATTTTAAATCAGTTTAGAAACACCAGACAGTGAATTTCTTCCTGCTGGGAGGCCCAGTAATCTATAACCTCCTATGATCAAGGTATAAACAGTGTACTTGAGCTATACAACTAAATATGGCTTATATGCAATGTGTATAATCTTTAACATCTAAAACCCACTAAATAGAATCAAGTCCTATTTCAAAACCATAACAAGAGCATTTCTGATTCTAAGAACAGTGGTTATCTGTGCTACTGATCGGGACAGTGCACCTTTCCATAGATTCCAACAGTCTATTCAGTGCTCACGCTTAGCCTGTTACTACTGACTGAAGTGCCTTTCTTTAAATCCTTCCAGTTTGTAGTTATAACCTCAAGACTCTCTTATTTATTTCCTGGGAAATCTGCCTATGGACAACTTTGCTGTATTCAAAACCTCCCATGTCAAGATTTAGTACTTTTATATTGTAGTCATTAAAATTGAACAAAATCTTAATAGTTCCTTTATTAACTACTACACTGAATTTGCATAGTGGAAATCACCACATGTTAATTGGTTTAATTAACTATTTTAAATTACACAAACTCCTGACAGTAGAGAGCAGCATAGGGTACTCAGGAGCAATAAAATTGGAGCTGGTATTGCTACTTTATTAAAACTTAATGAAACTATTCATAATCTTATTTATTGTTCACAAAAAGAAAACTGTGTTCATTGTGAAGGCAAAAATGTCAGCTAACAATATTTTTTATCACCAAGGAGAAGGTTCAGCGGCTAATAAAGGGGTCCACGGTATCCAGCCTCACAGTCCTGCCACCTTCTCGCCGCACTGACCCCCATTTTGTCCCCATCCCCATCATGCAAAAGGATGCCAGCAAAGGTGAGTGCTGGTGCGCCCACGTCGAGGGATGTAAAGGTGAGAGGCCGGAGGGAGGAACCAGGCGCCTGAATTGGAACAGGTGACTTCAAACAAGTCAGGTCCTCAGCTGGGCTGAGTTTCACCCCGGACTAGGTGAGCACAAGAGCCCTGGTGTTATGTATTAAAATGGTTATCATGTTTATGTGATATAATTAGATGTTACTGTTTTCTAAGTAGTGTCTGATGCTCTTCTGATTGCTTTTTAATGTTATTTCAGAATACTGCTGTGCAAAAGAATGAAGCCAGAAATAATATAATTAGTGCTTTTATTTTTATTTACATATATATATATGACATACATATATGTGTGTGTGTGTGTGTGTGTGTGTGTGTGTGTCTTACCTGAATATGTGTATGTCTGTGTTCCATACGCATGCCTGTTTGCCCTGTGAAACCAGAAGAGGGTGTTGGGTCTCCTGGAACTGGAGTTACAAGTGGTTGTGATTTACCATGTGGTGCTGGGACCCGAACCTGAATCCCTTGAAAGAACAGTCAGTGCTCTTAACCGTTAAGCCATCTTTCCAGCCCCTCTAACTCTGTGGGTTTCCGTCTAAAGTCTAGTACTGCAAACTATTGGACTTGTAATAAAAAAGATTGTATTATCGTTGCCTTGGTAGCCACAGTGCCCAGGACTTTGTGGGTAACAACTGTGAATTGATGAGTAAGAAAACAAATTATAGGAGTAAGAAAATGAATGTGGGTTAGATGTCTGCTAATCCTCTTATTTTCCCCTGGTTCATTTGATTGACTGAAATGTTAAAGAATGGCTCCTAACTCAAATATAATGGAGTGAGATGGTCTTGAGTTACTCATAATCTCACTTCCTGTCTGTTTGGAGTATTCAGGACCCAGAGTTGGTTCCAAACCATTTTTGTGATGCTTGGAGATTCAAAGTCGTCTGGTGTCTGGCTCTGTGTCTTGTCTGCTGACCTTTGTCTGCTGGTGGTGGATACCCCAGAACGTGATGTCTCTGAATTTGTTGAGCTATGCACAGCTGTAGTTATTTTCTAGCTGTGAGAAGTTCAGTGGCTTATACCTTCTAGTATTTTATATACCACTGACATTCGAGGAACACAAAGTAGCAACGGTGAGTGTGTGTTTCTTGCTTCAGTGTTCTTCCTGAATGAAATTAGCATGAGTGAATTTTAGCAGGTAAAAAGAACCATAAGACAAAAGTAAGGCTTGGATCAAGGTAACCAGTGCAGAGGGAAAGAAGTTACATTTTTATTTCTATATCTATCAGAGGACACGTGGCCTATCATGTTTGTAATTAATCAAACAATTAGTCCTTGTGTATTTATGGAGTACTTGCCATATGTCTGGTTATCCTACAAAGTAATATTAGTGTCAGGAAGGCACAAGTCAGAGAAATGTGTGGAGTTTTCAAATGTTTTGATGCCTTTCAGTGACATCTAAGACCCACTCTGGGTCTGCTTAGCATGAGATGAAAGATGAACAACATCCACATGAATTTTCTGGCAAAATCTAAGAAATGAAGCTCCCCACAGAGTCAGTGGATGAGAACACAAGTTTCATAGTGCACAGGCCAGAATCTAGTGTTCTCACCTGGAAAGCACGCACAGCTCTTACACATGGGGTTTGTTGTGGATGGTAAACAGTCTTAGCGAAGACAAAGAATTTATCTTATATTTTAAAACACAGAGCTATTTCAGTTCTAGTGGTAAGAAAGTTGAAACCTGACCCATTTCACAGAGGGTGTAAAGTTGTGAGAACTCAGAGCAGAAGGTGCGCTGGAGCGCTGGTTCACACCACTGGAGCGCTGGTTCACACCAGCGGTCGTTCTCCAAACATCAGGGCACATACATGTCTTGTGGGAGATTCAAGACTTCATCTCCTCAGGCTCTGATCTCGAACTTTTGGGGAGGTCTGGGACAGGGGCCAGAAGTCTCTGCCTTCAATAAGGAAAAAATCCTCCCTCAAATGCTCGTGCTGTATGTAAGTGGAGCCTCTCTGGGAAAGACTTGTCTAGGGGAAGTCTTCAGCTCTCCAGCCTTCTGGTCATTCTTCCGAGCTGCTGTGACACCAGGCCAACACGCCTAACAGCACTGTCCTGTCCTTGAGGGCTCCTGATGCAAATGGGGACAGGATCAGTCCCTCTGTGAAGTTCCAGTTTCTTCAACTTGGTCCAGCTTGGTGTTAGTCTATGCACTAGGAACTTGTTGAATTAAAAGGTTCCTCATGTTTCTGTTGTATAAGAGCATAAAAACTAAAACCCCAGCACAAATTCTGGGTTTCTGATGTCAAAACAATAGACCCACTGTAAGAATAGCTCTGTTTTGTTTAATTATTCACCTGTTTACTCATTTATCAAGGTGCCTTGCCCTTAAAAAAATTAGGTGCCAGCCTTGGTGATGACAAGAAATTGCACATCAGTTTCATGAACACTGACTTGTTTCTCTAACATAGTCAGACATGCAGTCTAGTTTTCATAATTTCTGGTGACATGAGCACAATCTAAAGGATAGTTCTTTTTTTTTTTTTTAACAAAATATGAGTGATTAGAACACCAGGCATATATGGGTTCAAGTACACAGATTTTCTTTTTTTTCTTTTTTTTTTTCAGAATAAAAGATCACCTTAGTTATTAAGAATCTGTGCCTCATGTCCCTGAATTTCAAAAAGTGCTATAAAATCACCAGTGATTGAAAATGCCATAAGTATAAGGACGTTTCAGTTTGTCTTGAAATTATATTTCTACCTAAGAATGAAATTATCTTGGTGCAATTTGATTTCATATTACTGCAACTGGAAATGATTTTTTCCCTTGGGTTAGAATATTAAGCTTAAGATGGGCTGTAGCTATTTTTCATGTAAAAGATTAAGGGAGTAGAATACACCTTTACAAATAAGATGATGGATGATGCCGTTACCGTTATGTAATCATAAAGCTCAGACTTTGTAGAGTTGCTTAGAGGTAAACTCATGTTTTGTTGTCTGTCAACCTTCCCTTTAGGGATCTTAAGTATGATCGAACGAGGGCTGATTCCCCCGGCAGCAAGGATCACCTTGAAGAATCCCCCCATTAAACCCCAAGCAATTCCTCTGCATAGTTTTAAGGAACCAAGGAAGATTCCAACAGAAAGTAAGCCAACCGTGCCTGTGTGTTTAGCTGTGGTTCCACAGGAATGGTCTCCCTACCAAGTCTAGATTCCTAGTGGACAACTGTAATCCTCGGTAATAGAATAAGAGGAGAGTTTAAAGCTTCCATGCAGCTGAGGCTGTCCACGGAGAGCCTGGGTACTGTGTGTTAGAAGGTTGGAATTTTCAAGGGGTTTTGTTGTTTGGTTGGTAAAGAAGACAAAAATATAAAGATCTAAATATTAAAATACAAAGTAGCACTAAAATTGAAAAAATGATACTTGTTGCTTAAATATCCTTTCATGAAGTGATTTAAGGCATCAGCCTTTTTATTTATAATAGTTTTTTCTTCCTGTTTTTAGTAAGGGTATTACATGTACATTTGTGACACAAATCTTTTATCAGATGTATGTACTGAAAATAGTTTCCTCCTACTCTGGCTTGGCAGTTTATTATTTTAAAATTAAGCCTTTTAGATTGAGGTAATTGTAGAATCACATGTGTCTGTAAGGACTAATAGAGCTCTTGCCAGTTTCCCCCGGTAGTAACAAGCGGGGTGCTGTAGTTCTCTGCCATCAGCAGGGTGTACATTGGTTGGACTGAGGCTGACAGCGGGCCTTGCCCTCGGTAGGCAAGCACGCTACCCCTGACCCATATGCTAGTCCTCAGCCAAGATTGGAAGGTTTCTGTCACCAAGTGGATACAGACCCATCAACTCCTTCCAAACCCTTTCGGCCCTGGCATCCAAAAATCTCTTCTTATTGTATAATTTTGTCATTTCAAAACTGTCACATAAATGAACTCACAGAGTATGTAACCTTTGGATTTGGTATTTTTCCACTCAGGACAATCATTAGGAGACTCTTACAGAGGGTAGCGTTTTTGTTACACTCTGATGTTTCCCTGCATGCATACAATATACTTTGATCATATTCACTTCCTTTTATCCCGTGCCTTTCCACTTCCCCCTTCCCTTTCCACACCAATAGCTACTTCCCTTTGACCTTCATATGTTCTCCCCTCCTAGCTTCTCCTACATAGGAGAAAAATAGGAATTATTTGTCTTTATGGGAAATAAGCTGGTCCCATTAATTTTCCAGCAAACGATATGATTTCATTTTTCTTTATGTCTTAGTAGGACCCATTGTGTGTGTGTGTGTGTGTGTGTGTGTGTGTGTATGTGTGTGTGTGTGTGTGTGTCTGTGTGAGTTTAAATCTATTATCTCTTGATAGGCAGTCAGGCTGACTCAAGGATAAAGAGGCATATGTCTAGTATGCCTGATTTTGAGCTGTTTGTTTATACGTCAAGAAGTGATATGGCTGAGTCATACAGAACTTCAATGTTTAGTTTTTTTTTTTTTGAGGAATTCCATACTAATTTCCATAGGCTTGACTAATTTTCATCAGCACAGTTGTGAGGCCCTGAGCATTCTTTCCCTGTGTTTATGGGCTGCTGGTACTTCTTTGGAAATCCTTTCTTCAGCTCAATTCCCCAATTATTCACTTGTATTTTCTCTTTTGTTGCTAGTGTTTGAGATCTTTATTACACTCTAAACATGAACCTCCTATTGGATGAGCAGCCAGCAAAGGTTCTATCCTCTTCTGTAAGTTGTCTCTTCATTTGTTGATTGTTTCTTTTGCAGTAACAAAGCTTTTTAATTTCATGTAATCCCATTCGTCATGTTTTATTAATATTTCTTGTAATATTAGCTATTTAGAAAGTCCTTGCCCAAGCCTAGATCTTGAAGTGGTTTTTTGTTTTGTTTTGTTTTGTTGTTTGTTTGTTTGTTGTTTGTTTTCTGTCTTCCTCTAGCAGGGTCAAAGCTTCAGGCACCACTTTAAGGTCTTTGATCCATTTTAGTTTAGTTTTTGTGCAGAGTAAGAGGTGGGGATTTAGTTTCCGTCTTCTATATGTGGATATCCTGTTTTCCCACCTCCTTCTCGTAAACAGACCATCTTTTCTCCACTAGATGTTTTGGTATCTTTCTCAAGAATCAATACCTATAGGTCCTTTGTGTCTAGTGCTTCTATTCTGTCTGTTTTAGAACTGTGTGTATGTGCGCCTGGCGTGTGTGTATGTTTTGTTTATGTGGGGGCGCCTCTGTGCGCAGGCGCACGTGTTTGCATGCAAAAGCCGGAAGCTGGTGTGAGGCGCCTTCTTCAGGCTCTCCCTGCGGCAGGGTCTCTCATTGAGCACAGAGCTTTTTGGTATACAGTGCTGTTTTAGTTGCTATGCTCCTGAGTAGGGTCGGAAGTCAAGTACTGTGCGAACTCTAGGATTGGTAGTCTTTAGACTTGGGGCCGCTTTTGTGCTTTCATGTGCATTTTAAACCTACTTTTGTGAAGAATGGTACTGAAATTATTTTTAATTTCTTCTTTTTATTTAAGTTTCTGTTGATGCTATTTATATGCTGTATTACATTTATCTATATGTATTTGTTGAGCCATCTCTGTATTCCTGGAATGAATGTTCCATGTTACCGTGCTGCAGCCGCTAAGCTGGCGACAGGGGTTGCTGCAAGCTGTCAGCACTTTCCAGATAGCCCCTCAAACATTAGTGCTGGCTTCGTACGGCACGTGTGCTCCTCTCTTTAGAATGGACGCCTAGGCGTGTGAGTGCTATTTCTTCAGGTGCTTTCATGTCTGCTTCATCCACCTACATTTAGAGCCACACAAGGAAGTGTTAAAGTTTTGGATGAACCATCATAAATAATTGTTAGACGCAAAAAGAAAAGTAATGTCTTTTATTTCTGATGATATTTGTTTTCTGTGTTTTTCACGTTCTCATCCTCCAAATGTTGTTCTTTGATCATTTCCTTCCTGTTTAGCCATTCTTTTGTCTGTATATGAATGACATAGTATTCTGATTTTCTTTCATCTGGAAATGTGTTGAGTTCCCACCTTTTTTTTTCCTAAGAGAATTTTTTTTAAAAAACTGCCTTTTAAAAATGATTGTTCTTTAATATGCATTGGTGTTTTGCCTGTGTGTGTGTGTGTCTGGTCCCCTGGAAATGAAGTTACAGACAGTTGTGAGCGGCCATGCAGTGCTAAGAACTGAATGTGAGTCCCTGGAAGAGCAGCCATGCTCCCAGCCACTGAGCCTCTCTCCAGCCCCTAAAAGAAACTTTCTTTTTTAAATTAAGTATTTATTGTTTTATATTAATTACTGTTTATTCACTTTGTATCCCAGCTGTAGCCCCCTCTCCAAGTCCACTGATAGAGGAGGTCCTCTTCCCCTTCCATCTGACCCTAGCTTCTCAGGTCTCAGGACAGGCTGCAATGTCCTCCTCTGTGGACTGGTCAGGCTGCTCCTCCCTCAGGGGGTGGGTGTCAAAGAGCCTGCCACTGAATTCTTGTCAGAGACAGTCCCTGTTCCCCTTACTAGGAAGCCCACTTGGATACTGAGTTGTCATGGGCTACATCCGAGCAGGGGTTCTAGGTTATATCCATAAATGGTGCTTGGTTGGAGTATCAGTCTCAGAAAAGACTCCTGGGCTCGAATTTTTTTGGTTCTGTTGCTCTCCCTGTGGAGCTCCTGTTCTCTCCAGGTCTTTCTCTCTCTCCCTTCTTTCATATGATTCCCTGTACTCTGCCCAAAGTTTGGTTATGAGTCTCAGCATCTGTTTTGATTCACTGCTGGGTACAGTTTTTCTGAGGCCCTCTTTGGTAGGCTCCTGTCCTAATTCCTATTTCCCCCTTCTTCTAACGTCCATCCCATTTGTCTTTCTGAGTAAGGATTGATCATCTTCCCCAGGGTCCTTCTTCTTGCTTAGCTTCTTTAGTGTACAGATTTTAGTATGTTTATCCTATATTATATATCTAATATCCACTTATAAGTGAGTATATACCGTGTGTATCTTTCTGCTTCTGGGATAGCTCACTCAGGATGAGCTTTTCTAGATCCCACCATTTGCCTGCAAATTTCATGATTTCCTTGTTTTTAATTGCTGAGTAGTATTCCATTGTATAAATGTACCAAAATTTCTGTATCCATTCCTTCGTTGAGAGACATCTGGGTTGTTGCCATGTTCTGGCTATTACGAATAAAGCTGCTATGAACATGGTTGAGCAAATGTCTTTATTGTGTACTTGAGCATAGTTTGGATATATGCCTAGGAGTGGTATAGCTGGATCTTGAGGAAGCGCTATTCCTAATTATGTGTGAAGGTGCCAAATTGATTTCCAAAGTGGTTGTACAAGTTTACATTCCCACCAGCAATGGAGGAAGATTCCCCTTTCTCTACATCCTCTCCAGCATACAGTGTGACTTGAGTTTTTGATCTTAGCCATTCTGATTGGTGTAAGGTGAAATCTCAGGGTTGTTTTGATTTTCATTTCCCTGATGACTAAGGACACTGAGCATCTCTTTAAGTATTTCTCTGCCATTCGATATTCTTCTACAGAGAATTCTCTGTTTTTAATTGGAATTTATTGGATTACTTGATTTGTTGCTTTTTAACTTCTCTAGTTCTTTATATATTCTGGATATTAGCCCTCTGTCAGATATAGGGTTGGTGAAGATCCTTTCCCAGTTTGTAGGCTGTCATTTTTCTGATGACAGTGTCCTTTGCTTTACAGAAGCTTTTCACTTTTATGAGGTCCCACTTATTGCTTGTTGATCTTAGAGCCTGTGCTGCTGGTGTTCTGTTCAGGAAGTTGTCTCCTGTGTCAATGAGTTCAATGCTCTTCCCCACTTTTTCTTCTAAGAGATTTAGTGTGTCTGGTTTTATGTTGAGGTCTTTGATCCACTTGGACTTTAGTTTTGTGCAGGGTGATAAATATGGATCTATTTGCATTTTTCTACATGTAGACATCCAATTACACCAGCACCATTTCTTGAAGATACTATCTTTTTTCATTGTATGGTTTTGGCTTTTATCAAAAATCAACTATCCATAGGTATGTGGGTTTATTTCTGGCTCTTCTATTTGATTCCATTGATCCACCATTCTGTTTCTATACAGGTTTTTATTACTATTGCTCTGTAGTACAGCTTGAGATCAGGGATAGGGATACTTTTAGACGATTGGTTGTTGTACAGGATCGTTTTGGCAATTTTGGGTTTTTATTTTGTTTTGTTTTTCCACATGAAGTTGAGAATTTTTCTTTCAAGTTCTGTAAAGAATTGTGTTGGTATTTTGATGGGCATTGCATTGAATCTGTAGATTGCTTTTGGCAGGATGGCCATTTTCAATATGTTAATCCTACCAATCCATGAGCATGGGGGAATCTTTCCATCTTCTGAAATCTTCTTCAATTTCTTTCTTCAGAGACTTGAAGTTTTTTTTAACAGGTCTTTCACTTGCTTGGGTAGAGTCATACCAAGGTACTTTATGCTATTAGTGGCTATTGTGAAGGGTGTTGTTTCCCTAATTTCTTTCTCGGCCCTTTTGTGTTTTGTATACAGGAAGGCTTCTGATTTTTTTTTTGAGTTAATTTTGTATCTAGCCACTTTGCTGAAGGTGTTTATCAGCTGAAGGAGTTCTCTGGTTGAATTTTTGGGGTCATTCATGTATACTATCATATCATCTGCAAATAGTGATACTTTGACTTCTTCCTTTCTGATTTGTGTCCCCTTGATCTCCTTCAATTGTCTTATTGCTCTGGCTAGGACTTCAAGTACTATGTTGAAGAGATATGGAGAGAGTGGGCAGCCTTGCTTTGTCCCTGATTTCAGTGGGATTGATTTAAGTTTCTCTCCGTTTAGTTTGATGTTGGCTATAGGCTTGCTGTATATTGTCTTTACTATGTTTAGGTATGTACCTTGTATCCCTGATCTCTCCAAGACTTTAAACATGAATGGGTGTTAGATTTTGTCAAGTGCTTTTTCGGCATCTAAGGAGATGATGGTGTTGTTTTTCTCCTTCAGTTTGCTTATATGGTGGATTACATTGATGGATTTCCATATATTGAACCACCCATGCATGCCCAGGATGAAGCCTACTTGGTCATGGTGGATGATATCTTTTATATGTTCTTGGCTTCGGTTTGCCAGTATTTTGTTGAGTATTTTTACATTAATGTTCATAAGAGAGATAGGTCTGAAGTTCTCTTTTTTTGGTTGGGTCTTTGTGTGGTTTAGGTATCAAGGTGACTGTGGCTTCATAGAATGAGTTTGGTAATGTTCCTTCTGTTTCTATTTTGTGGAGTAGTTTGAAGAGAATTGGTGTTAGCTCTTCTTTGACAGTCTGGTAGAGTTCTGCGCTGAAACCATCTGGCCCTGGGCTTTTTTTTTGGAAAAGAGGCTTTTGATGACTGCTTCTATTTCTTTGGGGAATATAGAACTATTCAATCTTTCTACTTGATCTTGATTTAATTTTGGTAAATGGAATCTACAAAGAAAATTGTCCATTTCCTTTAGATTTTCAAATTTTGTGGCATATAGGCTTTTTTAGTAAGTCCTAATGATTGTTTGGATTTCCTCAGTATCTGTAGTTATGTCCCCCTTTTCATTTCTGATTTTGCTGATTTGGATAGTTTCTCTCTGCCTTTTAGTTAGTTTGGCTAAGGGTTTGTCTATCTTGTTGATTTTCTCAAAGAACCAGCTCTTGGTTTCCTTGATTCTTTGAATAGTTTTATTTGATTTTAATTTATTGATTTCAGCCGTGAGTTTGATTATTTCCTGCTGTCTACTCCTCTTGGGTCTGTCTGCTTCTTCTTTTTTTTTTCCCTAGGGCTTTCAGGTGGGCCATTAAGTTACTTGTACAAGATGTTTCAAATTTGTCTTTGAAGGCACTTAGTGCTATGAATTTTCCTCTTAGCAGTGCTTTCATTATGTCCTGTAAGTTTGGGTATGTTGTGACTTCATTTTCATTGAATTCTAGGAAGACTTTAATTTCTTTCTTTATTCCCTAATCCAGCTGTCATTGGGTAGGGAATTGTTCAGTTTCCATGTACGTGTAGGCTTTTTGCTATTTCTGTTGTTGTTGAGGTCCAGTTTTAGTCCATGGTGGTCAGATAGAATACAGGGGATTATTTCAATCTTCTTGTATGTGTTGAGGCTTGCTTTGTGACCAACTATATAGTCTATTTTGGAGAAGGTTCCATGAGGTGCTGAAAAGAAGGTATACTCTCTTGAGTTTGGGTGGAAAGTTCTGTAGACATCTATTAGTTCCATTTGATTTAGGACCTCTGTAAGTGCCTTTATTTCCCCATTTAGCTTCTGTCTAGATGATCTGTCCCTTGGTGATAGTGGAGTGTTGAAGTCTCCCACTATTAAGGTTTTTGGATCAATGTACGATTTGAGCTTTAATAATGTTTCATTTATGAATGTAGGCGCTCTTGTATTTGGGGCATAGATGTTCAGAATTGTGATGTCCTCCTGGTGGATTTTTCCTTTGATGAGAATGAAGTGCCCCTCCTCATCTTTTTTGATTAATTTTGGTGGAAAGTCTATTTTATTAGATATTAGGATAGCAACCCCAACTTGTTTTCTGTGTCCATTTGCTTGAAAAACATTTTTCAAGCCCTTTACTCTGAGCTAGTGTTTATTTTTGTTGCAGAGGTTTGTTTCTTGGATGCAGCAGAATGTTGGATCGTATTTCTGCAACCATTCTGTTAGTCTGTGTTTTTTTTTTATTGGCGAGTTGAGTCCATTGATGTTGATAGATAATAGTGACCAATGAATGTTAGTTCCTTTTATTGTGGAGTGGGTGTGTTACTGTGATTCATTGCTTGTTTTCTTTTAATTTTTGTTGTGAAAGTTATCTATATCCTATGTATTCTTGGGTTTAGTTGTTTTTATTGGATTGGAGTTTTTCTTCTAGTATCTTCTGTAGGGCTGGGTTGCTGTGTAGATATTGTTTAAATTTAGTTTTGTCATGGAATATTTTGCTTTCTCCATCTATTTTGATTGAAAGCTTTGCCAGATAGAGTTGTCTGGGTTGGCACTGTGGTCCCTTAAAGTCTGCATGACATTTGCCCAGGCCCTTCTGGCTTTCATAGTTTCTGTTGAGAAGTCTGGTGTGATTCCAATAGGCCTACCTTTATATGTTACTTGGCCTTTTTCCCTGGCTGCCTTTAATGTTTTTTCTTCATTCTGTAGGTTTAGTGTTTCGACTATGATGTGATGTGAAGAGTTTCTTTTCTGGTCTAGTCTATTTGGTGTTCTGTAGGCCTCTTGTATGTTTATGGACATCTTTTTCTTTAAGTTGGGAAAGTTTTCTTCTATGATTTTCTTGAAAATATTTTCCGGACCTTGGAAATTTTGGGCCTGGAATCTTCTTTTTCTTCTATTCCTATTATTCTAAGATTTTGTCTTTTCATGGCGTCCTTGATTTCTTGGATGTTTTGTGTTTGGGACTTTTCCGATTTTACTTTTTCTTTGAGAGATGTATCAATTTCAGCAATTGTATCTTCAGCACCTGAGATTCTCTCTTCCATCTCTTGTATTCTAATTGGTGATGCTTACCTTTGTGGTTCCTGATCTTTTCTCTAAGTTCTCCAGCTCCAGGGTTTTCTCTGTTTGTGTTTTCTTTATTGATTCTAATTCTGTTTTCATGCTTTGCACCATTTACTTCATCTGTTTGAATGTGGATTCCCGTCTTTCCATGATGGCTTCTATGTTTTTGTTCCTTTCCTCTCTATTTGCCACTAATTGTGCCTCTACTTATGCCTTTATTTGTTTGGCTGTATTTACCTGTATTTCTTTGAGAGCTTTGTTCATTTCCTCATTATTCACCTCCATTCGTGTGGCTATTTCTTTGACAGATTTGTTCATTTCCTCTTTATGTGCCTCTAATAACTGGATAAGCATAGCTTTGAAGTCATTTTCTTGTGTTTCCAATTAATTGAAATATCCATCGATTTGGGAGTTGTTGGTGGAGCCATGATGTCCTGATTTTTGTTGGGTGTTTTCTTACGCTGACATCTGGCCATCTGCTTATCTGTAACCTTTATTGTTTGTTCCTGGAGTCTGTACTTCAGACTGAGTCCATCTTTCTCTGGTGTCTGGAGTATCCTTCTGGTGATGAGAGAGGTCCACTGGTTTGAGAGTGTGTGTTGGTGTTTCAGCTGTAGCTAAGGGAGGAAGGTCACCGGCACAGAATCACCATCGCAGGGGAGCAAGCGCGTGCGTGTGCGTGGAAGTGTGTCTTGAAGGACAGAGCGCTAGAGAGTGTAGCTGCTTGGAGTGTGTGGGTGCAGGTGGAGGGAGGTGCTAGCGCTGTCCGCTGGCACAGTTGGCAGGCGTTGTTCGTGGGCACAGTGCGCCTGCTCCTGCCATACTGTCCTTCTGGTATTCAGATCTGTCTGGGCTCCAGGAGTTGTTTGCCTGGACTTCATTGGTAGACCCACAGAGCAGGGGCTTCAGTGTTAAAAATGTGTCCCAAGAATCCCTGTGTTGCTGCAGAACTTGGGGGCTGGTGTTGCTGTCTACTGGGAGTCCAGCCACCATGGCAGAACTATGAAGCCGCTGGAACAGATGCCTTCTGGAAGGCCCTGGGGAGCTGCGGACCTGGTGGGCCTGGTGGAGCCAACGGCTCTGCGCTCTGTGCTAGGAGCTGTGTGCACTGCGGACAGGGTACTGTGCTCTGTAGCAGCCACTGTGGGCCGCCTCCACAGCTTCCACCTCCGCCAAAGAGGGAGAAGGGAGGCCTGTCAAGGGGAAGTGCCATGGGATTGAGTATTCTCTGTCTCAAAGCTCAAGCAGGGGGTTCAGTGCTGTGCTCTGTGCTAGGAGCTGTGGACACTGCGGACTCTGTGCTGCCTCCGCTGCTTCCGCTACCTCCACCCGCTGCCTCAGCCGTTGAGCAGGGAGGCCTGTTTAAGGGGAAGTGCCTGGGAATTGAGTCCCCAGGAGAAGTCTGCAGAGAAGTTCGCAGTTGACCTGAATCCTAATGGTCTCAGCTCAGGGTTTGTCCCCTTTCTTCCAGAAAGCCTCAATGTCAATGTTCTGAGTTCAATTGCCCCTGCACTCACCAATTTCAGAGTTTCAGATCCTCTGCTCCTCAGATACGGTGCGCACTGGTCGCTGCCATCTTGGATCTCCTAATTTAGCCTAAAAGAAATTTTCATTGAGCATATATGATCCCGGTTGCCCTTCTTCTTCATCTTCGCACTCGAAAAAAAGAAGTCATGCCACAGCCCTTGTCAGCCTCTGATTAGAAATCCAGTGAGATTGAAATTGTTCCCTGTAAGTAAGATGTTCCTCTACTTTCAATATTTTATTCTCTGCTTTTCGTTTTCAGAGTTTTTATTATGGTGTATGTTGCCTTGGAATTCCTTGGCTTTTTCCCATTTCCATTTGCCTTAGCCTCTTAAACCTAGATTCGGAGTGCTTTCAAGCCATTATCTCTTTCTTACAGTCCCCTCTGCCTCTTCTCTCCCTGTGGGACAGCAACGGCACAAATGTGGTCTCTCTTTAGGTCCACAGGTCCTTCGGCTCTCATCACTTCTGTGCACTCTGCCTTCTGCCTGTTACGCAGATCGGGTGATTTCTGTTATAGCTTCCAAATCACTGGTTTCTTTGTCTCCTTCATTTTAATCTTGAGTCATCTATATCTTTGAACTTAGGTTATTGAATTTTTATTATTTTTCATCTCGTTTCTTTTCATACATTCTAATTCTTTCTAGAGCTTTTGTTTGTTTTCATTTGTTTTAAGTGTCTTTGTAATTGCTTACAGGGGAATTTTTATGATGGCTGCTTCATTATGTATTGTAGCAGAATGCCACTTGTAGCGATCTTTTTTTTTAAAGCTCTACTTTATTTGGGTTGTTTAGACAGTTACCTCCCTTGTACCAACCAACCTCCCAACCTTAAGTAAGACAGCGAAAAGGTTAGACTCCTTTACTTCTCTAGTTAGGGACAAGGGGTTCTTTAGGGTTTTACCAGTCTCTGTAAACCGCAGATGCAGCTAGCAGGCTCACCCACACCGCTGCATCCCGAAGTGTTTCTCTCCATCTGTCTGCTCCAAACTGCCACACCATCTCTGGTCTCTCTAAACTGCTCCATACCACACACCAACACTGAATGCCACACCAAATACCATTCCAAACGGCACACAGTCTACTTGCTTTCATTTTTATACTGAGTCCTAGACCATGCCCCTCTCTGCAGCAAGTAGAATTCCATTACCAGCTGGCAAAGATCATGCCCCACATGTGACAATTAACAGATGTGGACAAACTTTAGCTTAACTAAAATTTTGAGCTTAAAACAAAAGCATATTTACATAACATACAAAGAAACCAAAACTTCCGTTACGATGTATGACTGTTTTAATGTTCGTATGTGATTTTTTGGTTGTTCGTGTGCGGTACTGACCTAAACTTCCCCTCGTAATGTTTTTCTTACATTTTTATTTAGCAGAGACATAAAATGTTTCATATTAATGGGCAATGTTATGTTTTGATACATACATGAATTGCATAACAGTTAAACCAAGCTGAACATACTTGTCTCTCCAAACACTTCTCACTTCTATATGATAGGAACTTTGAAAATACTTTCTTCTAGACTTTCGGCATCTCTGGAATATTGTCACCCACCGTCACTATACTGTTTGAAATACCACACCAAAGCCCCTCGTCCTTATCGAACTCTGTGCTGGCTAATTTCCCAGCAACTTGACACAGGCTAGAATTATTTGGGAAAAGGAACTCTCAACTGAGAAAATGCCTTCATAAGATTTGCCTGTGGGCAAGTCTGTGTGGCATTGTTTTAATTGGTGGTTTATGTGGATGGACGCAAACCATTGCAGTAGTGCCACCCCCTGAGCAGCTGGACCTGGGAGATATAAAAAATCAGGCTGAGCAAGCCTTAAGGAGCAAGCTAGTAAGCAGCGTCCCTCTTTGGCCTCGCATCAGTTCCTGTCTCCAGGTTTCCGCTTAGGGATCCTGTTATTATTTCCCTGGATAATAGCCCACCAGAAATTAGCTGAAATAAACTCTTGCCTCCCAAGTTGCTTTTGATCAGAGTGTTCATCTAAGTCATAAGTCACGGCGATTCAGCAGCACTGAGTAATATCTCCGTCTTTTCCTTGCTCTCTCCCACCTTTGTTAACTGCTGCACTGCTCTCAACCTCTATGGAACTGCCCTATCTAAGGATCCCTTATGTGGTGAGCATCATCTGCTAGCTCTTGTGGAACCTCTGTTTTCATGATTTAGGTTCCCATTGATAGGGCTTAACAATGGTGACATCATTTTGTCTCAGTCCATCAATGAGTTGCTTACCAGGCTCTAGTGGGTTTTCCGTTCCTCCAATGGACACATCGCAGGCAGAGAAAGAACCTACCATGAAAGTCTTCTGAATTTTGCAGTTCTGCACCAGGATGCAGTAGACAGCATGCTCCTTCCACACCCTTATTTGGAAATGCTTTGCCTGTAGCCAATCAGGGCCTGACCAGCTATGCTCAGGCTAGCCCTTATCCTACTCCCTGTAAAGCTCACTTCTGTAATTCGCCAGGGCTGCATTCTTTTCTTATCCTGAGAGCAGCCCAACAGACTAAATAACAGCCTGCTCAGCGCCCAGCTAGTTCCCCTGCTTTATTTTCTGCCATCAACAAATAGGATACGAAGCTGTGTTCCTTTCATCCACATCCTTGCCAGACTTTTTAGTCTTTTTGCTAATAGCTATTCTTTCTGGGGTGAGAGGAAGATCCGGGGCTTCCTTTAAGTGCCCCCTCCTGCATGTTAGTTTCATCCTCATCTCCATCATGTCTATAAGACCCCTCCTGCAAACCTGGGCCTTTCATACACATTCTAGGTAAGAAAATAGTGGTGAAGGGGATGTTTTCTCTTAAATCTATCAGGTCACATGACAGCCATGTGGAAGACAAAGAAAGTGACTAGGGCTAGGATTAGTGTTCTTATTTAGACATACTTAGACTGAATACTTAGCACGATAAGTACTGTACTCAGTCCAGTCCATTAATAAATATCCTGTCCTTTGTTGGCTACCTAAATATGGCTGACAACTGAGATACATTTAGAACTGACTGTCCAAAATTAAACTTTTAAACTGGTGGACAAGTGGATTCAAGACACCCTCGGATGACGCAGAGGTGGACATTAGAGCACAAAGTGAGCAATGGAACAGAGGAGTACAGAGGTCAAAGAAAGAACTTGTAGGCTCATAATGAGGTCAGCGGACACTGTGCTGCGCTGGACAGCATAACGGAACCGTCACAGAGAGACTCGCTAGAAGCCGGGGGATCAAAGAGTGGGTTAGACTGGGCCAGATACAACAAATTCCTTGTGTGGCAAATTTTGACACTCTGAAATTCTTGCTACTTCTAAAAAGATGCCTGAAAGGATTCTGTATAGCCCAAGTAGACGGTGGGAAAACTGAGTCCTCCGGGTGAGGCTGAGTTGCACTCCGCTCTTTTAAGTTTTGTTTTACGTCAGTCAGTTCTTTCAAAGACTGATGCTACAGAACTGACAGGAAAGAAGGCTGTGTTGAAGATCTTGGGATGGAAGAAGACTCACTTCTTTGTATTTACCTAACCATTTAAATAAATAATTTTCTCCCTTTGAAGAATAACGATAGGGTTTTTCTCCCCTAGGATGTCAGACTTGGGCTATCTGCAAAGGGTAGCTGAGTTTGCTGCCAGTCAGCAGGAAAGATGTGATTGAGAGTTGTTGTCTATAGATTAATTAATTTCAAAAATGATCTTTATGGTGTTATTCACCATATCAGTTCCCCCACGTCATTTTAACTTTTAGTCATATTTTTAATAGCTATCCAATAAAACAGTCCATCATTTGCAATTATATTAATTATCTTGTACATAAACTTGAGAATCTGGCTAATTAAAGGAGTTTTCATTTTAAGAGACAAATTTTCTTCTCTAATCTTCCTGCCTATTAGATCTAATTTTCCTCTAGGCATTTTGCATAACATAGCCTGACCTTCTAAAAAAGTCATTGCCCTGTCATAGATTTGGCTTTGGAGTCAGTAATCCCTGAAGTGTCACAGAATGGGTACAGGAAATGCAGGGAGTAAGCAGACAGAGCCATGTGACGTAGAAGCTGAACCCATAGCATCCAGCAAATGGCTCAGCCTCTCTCTCTGGAAGAAGTAACTTTGCCCCGCTTCCATTTACAGGACCCTTTGCTTCAGCTCAGAAGACACCCCAGGTTCCAGAAGAAGTTGGGACGCCTCACAAGAAACGGAAAACAAAGGTATTCGTCTAAGCATAGAAGAAAGCTGGTCTGTGTGCAGTCTGTGTGAGAGCTTGTGTAATAGATACATCATATAGTTGCTGCTCTCATGCTGGAATAAACTTTATTCCAGCACCTTTTAGGGATCATTTTATCTTACTGTGGTTATTCTTATTCTTTGTGGTGCTATGGATCAAATTCAGGGCCTCCCACATGATAGGCAAGAGCTTACCACTGAACTCCACAGTCAACTCCTGCTTTTAAAAGATGAATGCAGAAGTCAACTCTGCCAAGACACTGTAGGTGGGGCTAAAATAGGAGACTTTGAGATTTGCAAGTGAGTGATCTGCATATGCTAGCCGCTGGTTGGAGGCCAGGACTCTGGGCTACAGTAACTCTTGCTTTACATCTGTGTCTAC